GGAAATCCGCGGCCGGATCCGCGGCCGCGGACGGGCGGACGAAAGCCAAACACGCAGGGTTAATTATGTAATTTCCTAGGTGACTAACCTAAACCTATATGAAGCCTAAACTCGCCCAGAAGTCAGATATAGTTGGTTTTAGAAGATTTTAGAGGCAAGAACAAGGGAGAGAAGACGGATAATTTCCTAAAAGTTTTCATCTTCTTCTTCATACTTCTATTTGTTAATATGAATTATTTCAGTGATTTGTTTTCCATTAATATGAGTAGCTAAATCTATTATCTAGGGTTGATGGAACCAATTGTTGGATGAAGTCTTGACTCTATTTTGTTATAATCGAACCATGTTTGTTATATGATTATTCAACTACGTATTGTATTGTGGTTAATTGAAAGGGCCCTTGATTAATCGTGTCTAGTTACCTTGTATTGTTTGAGAAAGAACACTTGGTTAGATTGTTGTTGAACAACACCACTTTTGGGTAAGTTAAGAGATTAATTACTTGAATTTGAAAGTGAAGGTTAGAAATAACGAAGCTTTGGTGGGATAATTCTGAGTTGCATAAATTGTTAACTAGAGTAGTTCGAGAGAATGCTTCTAGTAAATTATCGTAATTGACCGAGAGATAATTACGGTAGCTCGGAACTCATAATCCTCATAGAATATTACAGCGAGATTATAGCTAAAGAGTTAAGAATTAATCCGGCAATTGGGAAAATCAATAGCCCTAGATCCTTTTACTCTTGAATTCAATTTTTGTCTTGATTATTGCTAATTTTATTGTCATTTTTCCTTAGCTAATAAATTCCACTGATTATTCATAAAACTCTTGCATCCGAAAGTTGTCTGAGCTTATCATTAGTATTATTTAAAGTTGTAGTAAATATGTTAGTTCCCTGTGGGATTCGACTCCGGACTTTAATCGGGTTATATTTGCAGTNACAATTATATTAATAGAGGTGAATCGAGAATTTCAAGATGATGGGTGCACTATTGTGAAGATGTGGATCTAGAATTTATATTTAACGGGTTTAACTTTAATCTCTTACCATGAATACACTGCACTTTTGAAATTTTATTGATTTTCTTGCCAAAAATAAGACCGTTCCAAGTGGGATATAAACCGTCAATTTCACTTCTAGAGGTACACCCAATAATTGTTACACAATAGGAGTCTTTAAGCATGGGTGCACACATGTATATTTAAGTAATTTCAAAGAAATATAACATTGTTATACATAATTTAAGAAAAAGGAGTATGGGTTCACGTGAACCCATACTACTTAAGCTAGATACGCCCCTGATTAAACAACTTTAACTCGTGATAATAGGTTAGTTATTATTTTATTCGATTACTAATTACTCCCTTTATCCAATTTATGTGATAATTTTTGATTGAGTACAGATTTAAAAAATAAAGAAAGACTTTTGAAACTTGAGGTCTAAAATAAGCTATAAATATTAGCGTGACTATAGATCAGCTCATTAAGAGTAAAATGAGTATTTTAAAGCTCGTTACTAAAGATAGAAATTAAATATGTCATTCTTTTTTAGACGGACTAAAATGAAAAGAGAGTTACATAAACTAGGACATCAAAATTAATATGTGTTAAGAGATTTACTTGTAATTACTTAATACATAACCTAATTGTATAAATATCTTTTACACTCGCATAGAACTTAAACTCTCTAAACATATAGAGTAATAGTTTTTCATACGTAAAGCTAGGGGTTGCATACAAGTGGGTCGAATCGGATATGAGTGAGTAAAAAATGGGTCATGTAAAAATAGATAATTTATCCGGCCCGACCCACATTTAATACTAATAAAAAAGGGGGTTAACCGACGGATAATATGAATATCCATATTATCTATAACTTCTTGAATACGGTCATTTTTGGGAGAATTTTTAGTCTCCCAAATTTGAGGAACCCCCAATTTGAATCTTTACAAATGTAAAAGTTAAACCATTGGTTATCCATTTTTAAGTGGATAATATGAATATGATCCATATTTGACCCACGGGTCTGAAGTTAAAAAAAATTAGTCTGAAGTGAAAAAATTACATTTTAGGTGCACTTAAGGCCAAATAACTCTGAAGTGAAAAAATTATATTTTAGGTGCACTTAAGGCCAAATAACTCTGAAGTGCAACCAATGGTTTCATGCACTTAAGGCCAATAAGTCTGAAGTAAAAAATTGCATTTCAGATGCACTTAAGGCCAAAAGGTCTGAAGTGCAACAGATATTTTCCAACACTTAATGCTAATAAGTTTGAAGTGAAAAATTACACTTTAGATGCACTTAAGGTCAAATAGGTCTGAAGTGCAACCAATGGTTTCATGTACGTGAGACCAATAAGTCTGAAGTGAAAAATTGCATTTTAGATGCACTTAAGGCCAAAAGGTCTGAAGTGCCACAAACATTTTCCTACACTTAAGATCAATAAGTCTGAAGTGAAAAATTTCATTTCAGATGCACTTAAGGCCAAAAGGTCTAAAGTGCAACCAACGTTTTCACGCACTTAAGGCCAAATAGGCCTGAAGTGCAAATTGCCCAGAAACAAAAATTTGTTCTTCGAATTTTAACAATCCAATATATAATTTAATACTTAAATCTACTCCAAATGAGCTCAAATTTGAAACATAACCTCCAAATATCATCAAGAACAAACTCCAATCATCAATTTGTCAAAACAATAATAAATCTAACGAACCCATTTTACAATTAAGAAGAAAAAAACCCTAAGCAATAATAAAAAATAAAGCGTTACAACAACTCACCACTGTAAAATATCATAAACTACCTTAAAATATATTCACAAACACCATATAAAATTATTGTTACCCGAAGAAGAAGAAGAAGAAGGAGGAGGAGGAGGAGGAGCAGAAGAAGAAGTAGGAGAAAGAGAAGCAGAAGAAGAAGGATAATGAGAAGAAGGAGGAGGAGGAGGAGAAGAAGAAGAAGTAGGAGAAGGAGAAAAAGAAGGAGAAGGAGGAGAAGGAGGAGGAGGAGGAGGAGGAGAAGGAGAGGTGGAGGAGAAGAAGAAGGAGAAGGAGAAGGAGCAGAAGGAGGAGAAAAAGATGTGAAATTGTTTAAACTTTAGGTACAAGTTAAAAAAAATTAAAAAGTGGGTACAAGTTAAATTGGGGCGACCAAAAAGGAACACGGTGCAATTTTTACAATCCAAATTCAGGCTCTCCCACATGCCACAAAGCTGTATAAAAAAAAAATAAAAAAAGAAATAGGAAACAGATGAAATGACTTTCCTCAAATCTTGATGGCTAGCTCACATGATACTGTTCACAGGAAGTCATGAGCACAAGTAGATGAAGAAGACAAAGATATGAGGAAGGACCTTTCTCTTTAAGCTACGTTTTCACTTCTCTTGTATTGCTGTGCTGATATTGATGCTACTTAGTTGATATTTCCCTTTCTTTCACGACCATTCCTTTGAATGGGGTCCTTTTTGTTTTCCCACTGTTTCTCATATGTAAATATAACGGAACAACTGATGAATGAATCTCTTTGAATTCAGCTTTAACTCTATATAGTAGTGGATTCAGGATTTTAAGATTGTGTATGCTCGATCATATTCTTTTAACATAAAGTTGCTGCAAATCATATAATATACATGTACAACTATTTGAACGCGATAGTGTTGAAAACTTCTAGTTACAAGTCACAATAAACTACTAGTAATATTATTATTATGAAAAAAAAGAGAGCTGGTCACAAGTCACAACGCTCAACATCACAAACTAAACAACCATTTAAAAATTCATCATCGATGCTGTTACGAAGTGCATTTTTTATGTAGTTCCTGTATCTTTGGTTGCTCGACGGATGAACGCCAGTGTTGAAAAACAACAAAATAACTTTTAATAATCGGTTAAAATACACCAACGATATCAGATACTTTTTTGTGCTAGTTGTCGGTATGTATAAGTTAAAATCTATTACTAAAAGAGGGTCACCCCAAAGTTAATGGACATGTGGTTCGCTTAGTTGAAACTCGAGTAGGTAGCCAATTCCTCAATGAATCGCATATGAGACTTCCGCCTCATATGATTCCGTTCGGAGCTTTCATCAGGACGATTGCTTTCGTTACAAACCAGAAAGACATCAAATTCTCCTTTAGATGCTTCAATTGTTTACATTGCAGTACGCCTAAATTTTCACCATAGAGAATATAGACATCAACATATTCTCCATAATAACCGCATAGAATGAAGCATTCTTGGTTTCTGGTTAATATATGGATGGGCCATAATAGCCGCACAAAAAATATATGGAGGTTGTGAGTTCGAGTCACCCCAAGAGCAAGGTGGGGAGTTCTTGGAGGGAGAGAGCGGAGGATCTATCGGAAACAGTCTCTCTATCCCAAAGTAGGGGTAAGGTCTGCGTACACATTACCCTTCCCAGACCCCACTAGTAGGATTATATTGAATTATTGTTGTTATAATATATGGATGGGCAAAAGGAAAAAGAAATTTTTCCAATAGTAACAAAAGGTGCCTCCACGGTCCACAACCCACATGATTAACATCCGATCTAACCTAGTAATACACAATCCGCCAAAAGCAATTAAAGTAACTCATTGTTCATTCAAATAATAAGGGAAGACGCAGTTTATTTTTCGTGTACTTTATCAATTTTTCCTTCTGAAGATAAGGAAAAAGAGAAGCTTAAAAAGGCCACTTTATTTATATAAAAAATGATAGGTAGATACATACTACACTAGTTCTAAGCAGACAGTTTCATGATCAACATTATATATACTTTAGACGATGTAACATCGCCCCTTAAAGTAAGTCTAATTAAAGGGCAACCCGGTGCACTAAGCTCCCACTATGCGTAGGGTTCGAGGAAGGGCGTGACCACAAGGGTCTATTGTACGCAGTCTTGCCATGCATTTCTGCAAGAGGCTATTTTCATGGCTCAAACCATTGATCTCCTGGTCACATGACAACAACTTTACCCGTTATAAAATAGAGAAGTGGTTTTGCCCCGACTCGAACCGGAGACCTTCAGTGTGTTAGACTGACGTGATTATAACCAACTACACCACGAAACCAGCAATTAACTATAGTAATGTCTATATATAGCAATTAACTAGTTGATAAAATAATTAAACTGCAAAATCAGTGGCACTTCTTTTCCCGGTATTGAACTGAAGAACTTTCTTTAATTCCTCAGCAAGACAAGGGACTTCAATAACACCCTTCTGTATAAATCCATATTCATCTTCAGCTTGTTTTAGTAATTTCAAGAATGATGGATTTGTAAGCCAATGCAACTCCACCACAAACCTCTGTGGTTCCTCTTTAGTATTTACTGAACAAACAGCAAACTGTCCTTCTTTAACATCATTTGGCACCACTGCATTTGCAGCTCGTGGCGTTTCAGTAGCATTTGGTCGTCTGGAATTGGGAATGATCAGTTGAAGATAATGAGTGTTGAGCTTTGTAATGAAATGTTTGAGGATCACCCTCCGTTTGGTTATTTCTTCTCCTGTCATATTAAACTTCACCATATTTTGAGCTTAATTAATAATGTTGAAGTAGGAGATGTTTTTGGCAATGGTAACACTTATTGTATTGAGTATATAGGATTTTGTTTTGGTTTTGTTATAAAGTTTGAGAAGAGGATTTATAGCATATGGTCATGAAGGAAAATGGAGTTAGATACTTAGATGAAATTTCTAAGATGATGAGTATTGGGTCCATTTGCATGTGCTTGCAACTTTTTGTTCATTAATTGCAACATACGATATATCTTTTTCTGTCGCTTTTTCAATTATTTTCTTAAAATTATTAGGTGTACCTTATTTCGTACAATAACATATGACTATGAAAGGTTTCTCCCTTAGGATCGATCAGTAGCAAAAGTATAGAAGCCAATATGTACTACGTATTAGTTAATGGGGACTGAGCAGAAAAGTGTAAATTATAAAGATAAACCATGCATGGTAGCTTCCAATTAAGCCGACTACAATCAAGGGCGAAGCTAGAGTATTGGGAATTCGGCCGAACCCAGTAGCTTTGATTCAAACATTATATTCGTCTTTAAAATCTATTAAATATGTACAGATTATTAATTTAGAGCCCAATAAGTTAAAATAATTAGAATTTCGAACTCATAAGATTGAAATCCTAGTTCCACCTCTAACTACAACCTTAAGTGAACTCTAACAACTAGTATCATTTTGTTAGGTAGCACTGCGCAGGGGCAGAACTAAGTAGAGAGACCGAGGTTTAACTGAATTCTTGTTGAAAAATTATACTGTACAAATAAGATAAAAAAATATTTTTTTTTATCTTTACATGCTTAGTTTCCTTGGCATAAGATAGAATTATAGTAAAATGAAAAAGGGGTTTCAAAAAATGTTTTAGGTCATAGGTTCATATTCCTTGTGTGATATTCTATATTTTTAATATAAATTTCTTGTTTTGTCACTGGTCACTACAAGATATAAACAACATATGTATTAGCTTAAGCGTATTTGCATAGATTGTATTGTTTGATGTTGTTAAATAATATTTTATTATTTGGTTTGACTGTATCGTATTGTACTGTAACTGATAAGTTTACTAAAATACCTTCAATTATTTTAAATATTAAGTTTATCAAGAATTACGCATAAAAATAATTTAAGAAAATCTATTTCTACTAATTTACCACCAATTATATATTATAAATAGATTAAGCAATTAAATTCAAGCAAATTCTAACAAAATTAGTGGAACAAGTTAATAATATTAAAAATAATTATAAGTACACTCCATTCATAAGTAGATCATAATAATAATAAACAAAAAATAAAATGTTAAGTACACTTTATTCAGAATTTAGATCATAAGTAATATTTCCCAATGACATATAATCCATAACTTAAAGTGCATAACATAATAGTTTTCTAACACCGTGATGTATAATCCATAATGAAATATTCATATTCCATAAAATCCTTAGCGATTATACCATAAATAATATTACTCTAACTCAATTATCAGGTGAAAACAAGAGCAAAAACCTGAAAAATAAGGTTAACTATCATTTAAAAAAAATGATAAAGAAACAGGGAGTTGAGAAGATAACACTTTGTACACTTGAAAACAGCCGCACTTCAAAACAACCAATAGTATACAGCTAATTGGAGATAAAAATAATTAGAATTGGAGTTAAAATCAAATTAAGCGAAAAAAGAAAAAGAAAAAGAAAAAAAGAAGGCAAAATCTATTTTTTTTTTTACCTTTGATGTTGGAGTTGGCAACAAAAAAAAAAGGACGAAGAGAAAGCGGTTATAGTTAGAGATTTTGAGTTAAAATGAAAAAAAGGTAAAGGGTAAATTAAAATTATGGAGTAATAAGTTAGGGCATAATTGGAAAGAAAAATAGGAAACAATCTCACCACACCAAATTGGTTGTTTTAAAAAATGAGACTTTTCATTGTTCCAGAACAATGAATTTAACAATATAATACAATTAATTTTAACTAAACAATCAAAACAAACATTATTTTTGGATAACAATACAATCGGTAACAACGATCCAAACAAGATGTTAAGAAAAAAACGATTTCTTTCTGGAAAGGGAGTCGGCAGATTCAAACGATACTCCTAAGTCCTATCTCTTATCAGGCCCTCCCCAAAGGAATAGAAAAAAACAAACACAACAAATTAACACACCTAACACCAGGGGCGGATCTAGAATAACATGTTCAATTGATACATAACTTTCGACGTAAAGCATAAATTTATATATGAAGTTCTATTAAAAAATAACAAATAGGAGTAGTAAATATGAGCACATAAGTTTAAAGATATAATGAATTTAATACTATAAAACTTAAAAGTTGAACCCGTAAAGTTTAAATCTTGAATCTGCCTAACACACCCCGACATTAATTAATTCTAAAATGATCTTTGATAGTTCACATGAGAGTATTCACAGGAGGAGGGCACAAGTAGATGAAGAAGACAAAGATATAAGGGAAAGGGGCCTCCTTTTGCAATTACTTTTTCCTTCTCTTGTGCTATTCTGATACTGATGCAACTTACTTGATAGTTGATATTTCCCTTTTTTACACGACCAATCTTGTGAATGATTAACAACTATTGTCTCAACCCGAATATGACAGCAACTGGGAAAAAAAAAAAGAAGAGGGAGAGATGGACTTTAATGGATTTTCAGCCTGCCTCTTTTTATACTTGCACTATATACTTTTTACAAGTTCAAAAAGAAATATAATACGTAATTTTCTATCATATTTTTAGTTTAATTCCAGTCAATGCTTAAAGTTGACGTTTGAATTTCATGAGCTCTTCTTGGCTCAAGACTCGTATTCTAAACCCAAGTCAAGAATTCTCATCTCTTTATTTTCTTCCTTTTGTTTGTTGAAGTTATTTGTATCATTTTTGGGATACTTAATAAGTGAGCTATAGCACTAAACGCGTTCTGGCAACAATATACTTGGTCCCGCTTCTGGGTTCAAATCAATATATTCTAAGAAGAAAGATTGAAATATCAATCTCATCGAGATCTAATCGATATTTATCTCTAAAGTTATTTGGAGATACACATACAAGATTTACTTGTTACTAATATAGTCTAGCATGTGAAAAATCTATCTATCTATGGTAATAGAAAGTAAAAACTCCATAATTTGATATTTTGAACCTCACTTGGTAGAGCTCCACTCTTGCTATTGGGACGTTGTAATTATAGGTTGGATGTCTAATTATCCATTTGGGTAGGTCTTGCAGTCAAGCTCCCTTTCGCCTTTGGACTCGAGAGTCAATCTCCATCAGGCCTGAGGAAACTTTTACACTTTTTGCTACATAAGTGAGATGGGAACATTGATATGTTGGCTCTGACATAATCATTAATGGAAATTTTACTTATATACCCTATTTATTATAAACCAAAATTATTTTAAAATATTATTTTCTATAGCTACCTTTTATATTTTATAGCAAAATAAATATTTTATGGTATATACTACTATTGAGGCATGAAATACGCTATTTATGTTTTTCCTCTCTCTTAGACAACTGGACATACTTATTTTTAAGGGATTGTCGTTACTGTATTCATGAATACATAGCGCGAATACATGTGAATACATGCTCGTAAAGCTGTATTCATGAATACAACAACGCGAATACATGTGAATACAGCTGGACTGCCTTGATTTTAGGCACTTTTTGCTACTGTATTCATGAATACATGGCGCGAATACATGTGAATACATGCGCGTACATCTGGACTGCCTTGATTTTAGACGCTTTTTGCTGCTGTATTCATGAATACATGGCGCAAATACATGTGAATACATGCGCGTACATCTGGACTGCCCCGATTTTAGGCGCTTTTATTGCTGTATTCATGAATACAGCAACGCAGATACATCTGAATACATGCGCGTACAGCTTGACTGCCCTGATTTTAGGCGTTTTTTACTGTTGTATTTATGAATACATGGCGCGAATACATATTTTAGGCGTTTTTTGCTGCTGTATTCATGAATACAGCAACGCGAATACATGTGAATACACTACCGTAACAACTGAATAGTAGGTATAGAAAGTAATTATGTATATGGTAGTTATATGAAGTTAATAGCCACTAAACAATAGTGGTTTCTGAAAATTTCTCATCATTAATTAACTCCATTAAGGACCACTGAATATGTGTGTTAGTCGTGTTTAAGGATCAGCCAAACTACTAAACATTTGGTACAAATCCGTATTAAAATCCCAGCATATCATAGTAAGCAATAGGGGTATTTATCATAGTAACAATAAAGTAAGTAATAGTAGCAATTATAGAAGAAAATTAGAGAGAGATTGTGATAGATTGATGATTTTGTAAGAAAAATGAAAGAATGAGGGGGTATTTATAGTTGAAAATAGGGAAAAAGTGTAATTATAAAAAGTTTGAGATTAAAACAAAGTTGGAGGAAGGGGGGAGTTAAATGGCTATTTTACAGCCCAATATTATCATTTTTTTTCAAAAATATAGCCGTTGGGACCGTTTGGCCCGCTAAGGGACCGGTCTGGTCCCGGGCCCTAAGCATAGGACCGGTCCACGAGACCGGCCCAGACCCATTAAAACCGGCTCAAACGGTCCTAGCCCATTTGGCCCGCGATTCCGGACCTGAACCGGCCCACTTGCCAGCCTTATATCATACTATGCAAGAACGTGCAAAATGTATATCATTGCTTGCCTTTATTTTTCCTTGACGTTTGGACGGCCCTATAAATAGACAATAATTTGTTCGATATCCTTTTTGGTATTGAATGTAAAAGTTCAAACAGTAGCGGATGCTAATTGCTATGTTGTCTGGTGCACTTACTGTTTTTAGATTAAATTATGTACAGTCGAATTTTTTCCCGTATATTTTTTACACATTAAAATTTCCACCTATTATCATAAATAGAGGGAAGTGAGCCTTGACGTAACTGGTAAAATTGATGTCATGTGACCAGGAGGTCACGGGTTCGAACCGTGAAAACAG